AATATATTTTTTGAAAAGTTCGAGGAACCAGAAGAAGTGGACCGATATTACCCATCTCCGAACTCGATCTAAGTTTGACAAAAATATTACGATGTACCAAGTTTGGACCAAATCGAATACTCCCTTCGAGAGTTATCGTGCGCACCAGCCAAAGACAGACGGACATCGCTAGATCGACTCCAAATGTTCTGAAACGGATTTGGCCCAAATAGACCTAGGGACTAAAACCCTTATTTCGACTAGGCACGTTTTGACCGTATTAAATACTATATACCCCAGCCATATGGCTGAGGGCATAAAAAATGTAAAAATTATGGCGTTTGACTTTTTTGCAATTTTTTTACCCCACCTTGTACATACTGAGAGTTTTTGAAATGAGCATTGAAAATGCTTCGAAATCACGCTCGTGAATTTCGAGAAATTTTGTACAAGCATCAACAAAATAATATACCCATATTTCTAAATGTATTAACCTGCATAGAAAATTGAGATACATATTTTATTAATTTTCCTTGCCGAACCAACAAAAATTACTTTCCAATTAACCTATAATGGCAACACATTACCTCACTGCAACAGCTATTCAAAGCGTCTAAAAACTTTCCCTTAGCAACAGAAAGTCGTCTGCAATTAGAAACGTCCAACAATTCGAAATAAAAAAACTACAGTGCATTTCGCAGATGATGTCAGCCTCATAATCGAAAACTTAACATTATTCAACTGTAAATGCACTTAATGTTTAATTTTACTTTCTTTAGTGTTTTGAAAAAATTTTTAATTTTTTCTTCCAAGGATGATTCCAACAAATTTTGTTCGGTGCTTAAAATACATATATGGAGTCGGACAGTTCATTTTAGGTACATGGTTACAAACATTTTGTACATCACGCCATGGAACAGATCATAGGTCGGCATAGATCTTTTTCAGCTTATTATCTGGTGGTCGTCGGCTGATTGGTTTGTTTGCTTTTCCTCAGTATTTTTTTTCTTCTCCTCATTAGTTAGTAGATTTTTTGTTTACACAAAAAGTTTGAAAAGCATTTTGCATTTTTAAGAATTGCAGAAAGAAAAAATGAAAAGAAACGCACAATAATAACAATAACAACAAACTATCTAAACAGCGAAAAGAAGTGAACAAATGTCGGTTCGGTGTTTTCGATCGCCCTTCCCCATAGTCCCCCCGTCTCCTCCTACACCCCCTACACACATCTAATGCATTCATTTCGTTTCATTTTCACACCATTATCGTCATAAAATGCAACAACTCATCATCGCACAGCGATCGACAACAATTCGTTTATTTTCGTTTGAATTATGTTTGTTGCTGTTCTACGATCGTCGTGTGCTGCTGCTGCTGCTGTTGCGGCCGTTCGATTGTCTCCGGTAGTACAAAAACAAAATAGGTTTTAAAGGAGGAGCATAACATCCATCCCCCAAATCTTCCAAGGCGACAGCGAACGAATGGGGGAAGGGCCATGACATCACCCACAACTATAATTTTTGCCAAGTAGCAGGCAAGCAAGCAAAAAAAAAAGAATTTTACAAAATTCATAGCACATTGCGTTCTCTATGAATAGAAAAAAACTGCTGATGATGATGACGATGATGAATGAACCATGAATGTCATTGTAGTGGTGCAAGTGCACGTGTTTTTTTCGTTAGATTCCATTTTTGTACTCAACATTAGCGGGCACAAAAGGCGATATTAACGTAGGGTTACTTTTGAGTTTACGAAAATCCTGAGCTATACACTTCTTTTAATGCGGTACTTCCCCCATATTTCTAGAAGGAACGATTTTGAATGTTTATTTAAAAAATAAAAAAACTTTGCGGAATTTGCATCGAAATTTTGAATCTCACACTTGCACTTGAAATTGAAAGCTTTGAGTTACCATTAAACAAACTAATGCTTAGCAGACTAAAAGACAATGGGTGTGTTAGTAAGACTTATAACGTTTAACATAATACAAAAAGTATAGAACTTAAATGGGGCACACAATCATGATTGAGTCATCCTAGATACCAATGGTCGCAAAATTTGTTTCATTGTCGATCTACTATACCTTTTTTCATATAAACATTTTTTCATATCAGGCTCATAGAGATTCAAATAATATACAGGGAGATGAAAAAACTGCAACCAACTTCAGACTGCTGTCATTTCTATGCCACTCGTCCGATAGCTGTTAAAATTATTCCAGTGACAGCTCATTATATTGTTTACAAGTGCGCGAAAGTATTTTGGTGAGAATTTTCCAGAAAAAAATTATTCGTAATGGAATTCAAGCGTGATAGTGTGATATCTTTATATTTGGCTGGAAAACCACAAGTGGCTGTCGTTAGAGCCCTCCAGCATTTAAATGTGAATAAATCTTTTATGCCTCGTACCATCGCTCATTACCGTGATACTGGTAGCGTAGCCTACATTTTTTGCTTTCATTCAATAAAATTTTAAAAAAAATTAAAAATTATGAATTATGTTTGACTTTGTTGCAGTTTTTTTATTTCACCCTGTACAATGCATTTCTAAAAAGATTATTAAAAATGCATCCAATTTACGCTGATAGTTATTTGATAATATCTTTCGATTCTGTAAATAAAAGCGAATTTTGTTGGGGCCCACTGTTCTGGAGTGACGATCTACTATGCATTTTTGAATAGGACAACAAAAATTGCTTCCAAATCACGATCGTTGTTATTCGATTAAAATGTTCTCATTCCGCGAATGAGCGGTTTTAAATTTGTGTTTCAAAATTTTCTCGTCAACGCCCAAAAAGTGAAATTGGTAAGGGTTCAGTGTCCTGGAGCAGTAAGATGTCCCTCAATCTAGTATGCATTTTTAAGTAGAACATTGAAATTGCTTCCAATTCACACTCATAGGTATTCGATTAGTATGTTCCGCTTCTGTGACTATTCGTTTTAAATATGTGTTTGAGCATTTTCAGACCAAAGGCAAAAAAAATTGCAATTGGTTTGGCCCCAGTGTTCCGGAGTGGATAGGTGAGCGTCTATTTACTATGTATTTTTGAAAAGAGCATTAAAAATGCTTCCATATCCCCATAATAAATAATCGAATAATATGTTTCGATTCTATAAATCTACGGTTTTTAATTTGTATTTCAACATTTTCTGATCAACGCCCAAAGAGATCAATTGGTTGGGGTCTAGTGCCCTGAAGTAGCTACGTCTATGTCGATCTACTATACATTTTTGAATAGAGCATAAAAAATGCTTCCAATTCACGTTCATAAATATTTCAGTAATATGTCCCACTTCTGTGAGTTATCGTATTTAATTTGTTTTTGAGCAATTGCAGACCAAAGGCCAAAAAGTGCAATTGGTTTGGGCCCAGTGTTCCGGAAAGACCAGGAGAGTGTCTATCTACTATGCATTTTTGATTGGAGCGTTAAGAATGCTTCCAAATCACCATTATAGATATTCGAATGTGTTCAAAATTTTTTGAATAATAGGGTTTTAATTTATATTTCAACATTTTCTTAAAAAATGCCAAAAAGTAAAATTGGTTGGAGTCCACAGCTCTGGAGTGGTTAGGTGAGCGTCTATCTACCATGCATTTTTGAATAGAGCATCAAAAATACTTCCAGTTCACGGTCATAAATGTTTGAGCAATGTGTTCCTCTTCTGTGAGTAATCGTTTTTAATTTGTATTTTTGAGCAATTCCTGGCCAAAAAGTGCAATTGGTTTGGTCCCAGTGTTCTAAAATGTCTAGGAATGTGTCGATATACTATGCATTTTTGGATAGAACATCGAAAATGCTTCCAAATCACCCTCGCAGATATTCGAATATGTCCTGATTTTGTAAATATTCAGTTTTTAAATTTTTATTTCACAATTTTCTTTCAAACGGCCAAAAAGTAAAATTGGTTTGGGTCCAGTGTCCTGAACTGGCAAGGAGTGCAACGATCTGATGTCCACTACTGAATAGGGCATCAAAAGTGCTTTCAAATCACGCTAATAGATATTTCAATAATATGTTCAGCTTTCGCGAATAATCGGTTTTTAAATTGTATTTAATCATTTTCTGACTAACGGGAAAAATTGAAATTGTTTGGGGTCCAATGTCCTGGAGCAGCAATTCATGCATGGATTTTCTGTCCATTTTTGAGAAAATCAGCAAAAATGCTTCCAAATCACCTTGATAGATATTCGAATTATATGTCCCGATTCTGAATATAATCGGTCTTTAATTACTATTTCACAATTTTCTGTCCAACGACCAAAAAATAAAATTTATTGGGGCCCACTGTTCTGGAGTGGCTAAGTCAATCTACTATGAGAGAGCATAAAAGTGCTTCTAAGTCACCATTACGACGCTCTCCTACATAGTCCAAAATAATATTCTAATCCATCAGCAAACGATTCAAAATTTTTTTATTTGACTATTTACTGGCCGTTGAAATTGGTTTTGCCCTAGTATCCAGGGATGGATAACTTGCTTCGATCGAGCATTCATTTTTGAAAAGTGCATCGAAAATGCTTCTAGAATGCTCTCCGATATGGTCCAAAAATGTTGTTCCTAATCCGGCAATATCGGTTTTAAATTCTTACTGAACATTGAAATTGGTTTTTTAGCTCAGTGTCCAGCAATAAAAATTAATTTATTCCTCAAAAATTGGTTTTGATACAATGCCCCGGTGTACCCCGATCTAGTGTTTTTTTTTTTTTTAGAACAACCACAAATAACGCTTCTAAACTACTGTCCTAGTTATTCCAATAAGAAGTTTCTAGTTCCGCAATAAATCGTTTAAAATGTACACTCGATCATTTGATTTGAATATTGGTTTGGCCAGACAGTCCCGGAGCTCTTGGGTGATGCAATCTTTAAACCTGACCATGAAAATAATCGCCTTGATCTCTAAAATACATATTCTTGCAAAAATTAAAAATATAAATAAATTTATTCTCCAAAAATACCACTCCCAACAAGACCAATTGACTTCCTTTTGAAATCGTTCGGTCTTATTAGAAAAACATCTTACCTGCTTTTGTTAGTGGAATAATTTGTGAGCCACTCGAGTAGGCCATTTCGTGATCCGATATTATACGAATGAGGACACCACGTTTTAGGGCGCGATTAAAGGCCTGTGCCAAATCGTACGACGTAAACGTGTACATGGCTAAATCCAACGAATATTTAGCCGAATCGATAAATTCCAATAGACGACCGACATTATAGGCGGCACAAAATGGATTCGAACAATCCGCGTGCGACTTCTTGGGCGATGGTAGCTTTACGATACGATTCAATTCGGACATTGTGGGCGAACCGGAGGCTGAAACCGTACCGGAACTCGAAGCTGTGGTAAAACGACGATGTTGACTAACGCACGATTGTGTCAACTCATTGGTCCAAATGACCTCACAGATTTCTTTGGATGTTGACAATTTGCTCATGTGATTTTTCAGCCAGAAATATGAGTGATAGGCAATTTCGGAAAGCACAATTGCACTTGCACCATAAAGGCAGTAGCGCACAATACGCGATGATTCGAGCATAATTTCTAACTATTAATTTTAGCACTTCAATTTGAACACTATTTTCCAAACAATTTTCCAAAAATTAAAAACGAAAAGGAAACTCAAAAAATTTTCACAACAAAAAACCACGCGACTCCCGTCTCTTAACTAGGGCCACAGCCAGCCGATAGAAAATTGCAATTCGAATGCATTTAAATTTCCTAGTTGTTGTTGTTTTTGTTTTCTCTTCGACCCGCAACCGGTAAATACGCACGTGCTTTGTGACAAATTCGATTTTAAACCAATAATCCGAGAATAATTTTTATTTCTATCTAAAATTTCTTTAATAATTTGCAATATTTTTTTTAATTCACAGCCTTTCGGACACGAGTATGCAATCTTTTCTTTACGTTCCGTAGAATGCACGTTTTTTGTTGTTTCTTTTTGCTCTTTTTCGTTGTTTTTGTATTTGTTATTTTGCTAAATGTTTGGCCATATGTTCACAGTGACATAAGAAATCCGAAGTTGAAGGTGATAATTTCATCGGCGTCAGTTAAATTTGCAAATGTTTAATCTTTACGGCTTTCAGGAGTCTAATTGATGGCAATAGGTCTACAAGGCGAATAATAAAAGGGACAATAGGGCTATTCATAATTTTTTAATAGTTTATAGGGGTAAGGGTAAACATGTAGTGACATGAAATCGTCGCATGTTATTTTAAGATACACATTGTAGTTGGCAATTGGATATCAAAGCCGCACTTGACTTCTGCCGTCGTTGTCCCCCATGATTAGATAAGAGTATGAATTGCAACGATGCCATGCTGCTTTTCTACGTATATAGCTCTTAACAGAATGAGCGCGTTGAGCCGTTTCCCCTTAAATATTATCAAAGACGGAACGATCAAAGCGTAATGGATTTATTGCTACTATGTGTCTCCTGTGGTTGTTGTTTCGTAAATAAAATAGTGAAATGACTTAACGCGCTATTTATGCGTAGTTCTTTAGAGTAAAGGTGTAAGTACATAAAAAGCTTGAAGTCATATAAAGGCATATTAATGTCAAATTATAATGGAAAACGACGGAAAATTTTAGTGCGGCACTGTAATCCCCTTATGAATGTCACAAATATATATGCCTAGCCATGACTTCAAGCTTCTTATGTACTTACACCTTAAAACACAGTCAGCTCTTAGCTTCATTTTCCTACTTAGCTTATCGATTGGATTATGTTTTATATATATATATATATATATATATATATATATATATATATATATATATATATATATATATATATTTTGTCAAATCACACGTTATCTTGAAATATCGAATATGAAGCCGTAAAAGAATTCAAAAGTTAAAAAATGTTTAACTTCGTCGCCTGAAACTTGGCGGCGTTGTATGTTGCTGTTGTATTGGAAACAATACAATTTAACTTTCTCGCTTAGAAGCATGATAGAAGAATACAGGTAGTCACATCGACGCAGCTACTGGGACTATGAACTGTCAAACCAATTTAGCAATTAAAGATTGAAGAATGAAAAATTATTCAAAATCGTAAAAAACAATTTTGAAAAATGTATATCATAACAAGCTCCGATTGACGTCGTATAAGAAAACCTACAAAAATCTACTTATTTTTGTCGGGACATTTGAAAATGTTTGACATATCAATGTTCCCAAACGTTGATGCATCTACCTGTATTCTTCTACCATGCTTTGAAGCAAATAAGCATTCATTCTGTTTCACCCTCTAAGACCATAGTATAATGAACGCGTTATCCGTTATTGCGTGTCACATTTCATCGATAAAACCTCAACCACAGAATGACATTAATTATTGTACCATCGATAAAACCTTATCTGCGTAGTTGTTGATTGACGATGATGCGTATATATAACGGATGGCGCATTCATTATGCTGTGGACAATAATGTCAAAATTGCATCACAATCTTTCCAAATCAATATTTCAGAGATGGGAACTTTTTTTTTATCAATTTGTACAAGGTGAAATACAAAAACTGCAGAGATGGATAGTCCTATTTGAAATTACTTTACTATCTTAATCTCACCATGGAAGTAACAATTTGCAATTTTTTGGGTAACCCATAATAAAATTAAGGAGGTAAAGTCATTCCAAATAAGCATATCCAAATCTGTATTTTCTGTAATTTACCTCGGCATATTTTACTGAATAAAAAACAGGTTTTCATCTTTGATTCGACAACAATATGTTGTCAAATGAATAATTTTGAAAAAATTTTAAAAAAATGATTTCATGACTTTATCTTTTTAATTCTACAGATACTCTTAATATTAAAATATATAATCAGCTGTAATTTGTTTACGTCATAATTCGTATTCTATTTTTCTTCTATATTATGAAATTAATAATTAATTAACGTATTTTTATACACTTTTAAATATGTAACGTCCCTTAAAACGCAAGTACAAGAGTTCAAAACGATACATACCAAATAATGCAACTGTGCAAATTGGTTAGGAGAGTTGTTGACACGTCAGTGTGAAGTGCTAAGCGAGAGAGCGAGAGGGTTTTATTTTCCCGTGAACTGTCAAAATTGCAAAAAGAATTTTTATTTTAAGCCGTAGCAGATAAAAACGAATCAAATCGAAAAAGTGCAGATATTTTTTTAATTAGATATTTTCGTAGATAATAAGTTGGTAATCTGACAATACCGAATACGCTTTAGGTCATAGAACCTAATCAAGTAAGTCCTGGACGGGTGGCGGCTCTCAATGTTTCTTGAGAGACGTGTATGGAATTGTAAAAATGTCTTTTGGTTTTCTAGAATTTAGTTGAAGACACCTTGTCAACTTTTAATTCCATGTTTGTTTTTTTTTAGATTCTGAGTACTTGCGTGGCAAAGTGAGACAGTGTTGAGGAATAACACACAATTAGCTGTATTGTAAATAACACTTGCGCCCAACATCATCTGTAAGACACATACATCAATTATGTTTAAATTGAAAAGTTGTGCGGACTTTTGTTTACTCAGCTTTCTGGCATTTATAAGTGTGACACAAGCTGTTGAATTCACATTCGACTTGGCAGATGGAGCGGAAGATTGCTTTTTCGAAGAAATAAAACGTAACACCACCGCCTACTTGGAGTTCCAAGTGTCAGCCGGTGGCCAGTTGGATGTGGATGTAACATTAAAGAATCCCAAGGGCGATATCATTTATGAGCAACAAAAGGCCACCTTCGATAGCCATCAATTTGTAGCGGATTTAGATGGTGTTTATCAGGCCTGCTTTAGCAATAAATTCTCCACATTTTCACATAAGTTCGTCTATGTCGATTTCCAAGTTGGCGAAGAACCCGCCCTACCCGGTGTTGATGACCACGCAACAGTGCTAACCCAAATGGAGACATCCTCCCAATCGATACACAAAAGCCTTAATGACATCTTGGATGCCCAGACACATCATCGTCTGCGTGAAGCCCAGGGCCGAAAACGTGCCGAGGAGCTGAATGAACGTGTTATGTGGTGGTCATGTGCTGAGACCGCAGCCGTCTTGACCATTGGTATTGTACAGATTTTGGTGCTACGTAACTTCTTCACGGATCGTAAACCCAATCAGCAACGTTATAGCCGTTTGTAGGGTTAAATTAGAACGACATGCCAATTATTCTAATTTTTTTATTAGTTAATCGAAAAGAAATTTGTGTATAGACAAAACAACAAGAGTACATAAAATTGAAGCCCCCTGCCCAATTCCTCATCCTCCTATCCCTCGACTTTTATTATTATTATATTATTACCCTCACACAAAAATTACTACAAAGGTTTATGTTCTCTTAAAGTACACAAGCAAAATGAAGCCTCATCAATTCCTCAGTTAATGTGTAATTTTAGTTGTAATTATAATTTTTGTGTCTTTATTAAAGAAAAAAATCATTCGATCCACTAAAAGTTGTGTTTTTTATATTTTGCAAAAAATAAAATTGTGAAGACAGATTTTGAAATGGTAGCTATAATTTTGAATATTCTACGATGGAATTTAAAATATCGTTGCACGGAATTTCTCATTATCACATGGAGAAACCGAAAAGGGAAGAAAGACTAAAATTGTTAGCTACATTTTATTTCAAAGCTAGTAACTAAGGGTGAAGATGAAAATTGTACTATTGGGATGCATAAAAATTGGTCCGATGATTCGTAAAAATTCAAATTTGACAATTGCAAGTAAATACAAAACGGAATCTGAGATGAAATGGTATAACCGTACCATGGTATGAACAATGTGAACATACAATTTATCGAAATACTTCTCAAATATTCGAAATTACTTGGAGTTATGCTCCAAATAAAGTGCTTTGCGGATTTTCAGATTTCGGTTTTTTTCTGCTCCAAAATCTATAAGTCCAAAAATATCGCAAAAGCGAAGATATAAAAAAACTTCATTTATATTTGAAATTATTTTAGTTAGGGTTTATATATCTTGTAAACCAGCAAAGCATATCTCTTGGGATTGGTCACCGCTAAGCCGTTAAACTTTACAGGAAACTTAACTTTTCCCTGGAAAGAATTGGCATTAAATATTTCTGTAACCAATTCGCCTAGACATAGATGTGGTAAGATTGTTAAACTCATTCCAACATTCCCCCGAGCTCAGAAAGTGTGTGTAGGAGTCCTTCTTTAGATACAGTTTTATATTAATTTATTATAATGATTATTATTGTTTTCCCTTAACTTAATATAACTTGATTTTTTTTGTTGTTACTTTCATTATTATTTGTAAATGTAATATATATAGAAGAGTTCAGGTTCAGTCCGTGCTGGCCGCACAACATCATCCAACTACACAATTACACCGAATCCGGACGATATGCACGATACATGTTCATCTCATTGGGAAATGTCTTGAAAAGTTCCGCCAACATATTTGATTTGAATTTGCGGTAGGCATCGATTTTACCTTTGACCTCTTCGTTTTTGGCCAATGCCTTCTCCACACAATCCTTGGTGTACAGTTGGGGGTTCTTGTCCTGATCAATGTAGTCGAAGACCTCAAAGGGTACATAGATATCTTGAACCTGATTTTTTAATTTGTTTATTTCCTGCAGACCGCTAACCAGGCCTTGGCTGCAAATTCAAAATCAAATCAAATAAATCGCAAATTATCATTAAGTCGCGCATCACAAAAAAAACTTACATCTTTTGATTGAGAACATTTTGGCCTTGGGGCTGAAAATCGGACACAATAATGCGTATTTGTCGAACATTCTCAATAAACATTTCCAATTGAGTTTCAAGATTTTCCAAAGGTGCCGACATATTTGAAGATTGTTTAAGGCAACGGTTTTCTTAGAAAGACTGCTTAAAATGACCAATCCGGACAATTTTCTTTCGCCTTATCCTGCACAGTGAAAACTGAAAAGTCTTGGCAAGGTAGATCTAACAGGTAACCGCATCGGCGAATTGCTACAACAAAGCAACTTTTGTGGTCCCCTCAAATGTCAAAATTGGCATCTAAGGCGAAAAACATAGATTCGCCATGACATTTAAAGGTTGCGGCAAATTTGTTTCAACCAATCAGAATCGAGATGTTTGTTTACATTTTATTTTGTGTGCCTCTCGTCGTAAACGAACGTCGCAATAAAAGTTTAAATAGGAGTAAAATAAGTATTAATTGTAGTATTGCGATATTTTTTAAACCAAGAAACTTATAATGACTATATTTTACTGGTTAAAACCGAAAGTTTTCCGGAACTGCAAATGACAAGAGTCGAATTCTTGCACTACTTCCCGTGATGTGCTTTGGGAATCTTAGATGTTGAGGCTAACTTAATTCTTAAAGCTGCACTCCATTCTAACCTCCTTCCTTCATTTTCTTTTAATTTTTTTACTAGTTTCACTCTTAACTTGCTCTTAAATTATTTGAAATATTATAAAAAGGTACTTCTAGGGAAGACAAATAAACAAATTTGTTGTTGCATTCATTTAGGGCGAATTATTCATTACAACAATTTGTTTTGACATTTAATGGTGCCATCAGCTGGGCTGATGCGATTACCTAGTACATCTACCTTGAGTCTTGGCAAGGGCTATTTAAGTCGATTTTCGACCAATCGAGTTTTCCAAAATCATACAAAAATCGGTAAATGAAATCGATTTCGTAGGTATGGGAATATCGAATAATCGATAATTGAAAAAATGGGTTTTCTGCATTTTATTTGACTAATCTATACTTTTGAAGAGATATTTTTTTAAAAACCATAGAAAAGTAAAAAAAAAAAACATAAAATTCTGAAAAGTCATGAATTCTTTACTTAAATGTCGTGTTTCAGATCAACAAGATTGTATCATCATTTTTACTATGATAACCGATTTTCCCTTTACGAAAAATCTTGCAAAAAGAGCAGATTCTTGCAGGTTTTGAAACAGATTGATATGATCTAGGTGGACAGCTGACCGGTCCCGATTATAAAAAAAAATAAATCCATTGTTGTGCAATTCCAAATCTTGTATTTTGGACAAAAGTTGGATATCTCCTCACAGTAGCGCACAACATTCACAGTTTCGTTGTGATTCGTAGAAGTACGGTAAAATAATCGGATTGAATGCAGCAACCTATAAACCCCATCAAACTGTGCCGTTCTGAATGCAAAGTTAGCTTTTGCAATGATCTCCACTCCAAAATAGACTTATTTACCTACACTTTCCCCAGAAAATGAGGTGGAAAAAGAGCGCGATTAATTGTTGTTTAATATTTTTAACATTTGCTCTTATCGATAATACTATTAATCGATAGTTTACATAAAATGTTGATTATTGGAGATGTTTGTCGAAAACGTAAAGTAGCTGTAACGTAGCTCCCCCGTAAGTGTTTATTAAACTTTAATAATATATAGGTGGAACCAGTACTCTTTAATCCAGAAAAATTAAAACAGAGAGAGAGAGAGAAAATAAGTTTTGAATTTGCTCTGAGAGAACTTGTTTTATACAAAAGTACTGTAACGTTATGGAACGGAACTTATATGTGCAACATATGTATCGTATGCATCCCAATAACACATCAATCGATAAACGATAACTTAACAATATTTGTTGCATTGCTGTTATCGTTTAATGTTTTTGTTTACAACTTGCATACGAACGTTTACATCATACCCAGAAGAAAGAACTTTTTCCAAAGGTTTTCCAAACCATGGCGAGACACGCTCTAATTGGTAACATTTAATGACAATTCATAAATATAACTTTACTCACATATTTTTGATTCTAATTCCAGGTGGTGGTACTGGTTTCGTGGGTACTCGTCTTGCCAAACATCTGGCTGGTCAAGGATATGAAGTTACCGTAGTATCTCGTATGCCTGGCCTAAAACGAATCACTTGGCATCAATTGGAGAAGGATGGACTGCCCAAAGGTGTTACATCAGTGGTGAATTTGGCCGGTCAAAATGTATTGGATCCCTCCAGAAGATGGACTGCCGGTTTTAAGCAAAACGTATGGAATTCACGCATTAATTCGGGTGCATCCTTGGTGAAGGCTATTGAAAAGGCCGGCGGTGTTGAGGCTTTTGTAAATATATCCGGAGTTTCTCATTATCCTCCCAATGAAAACAAGGTCTATACGGAAAATGATGAAGTACAAGGTTTTGATTTTATGTCACGTCTTTGTTTGGAGTGGGAAAAGGCTGCCACTTTGCCAGATGGTGTACAGAATGTAACAAGGGGTGTAAGTACTAGAAGATATAAATTTTGTTTATAAAAGTAAGCTTCTATGTCTTCGTTTAGGTAAAGTTGCGAACCGGTGTTGTTGTGGGACGTGAAGGTGGCATGATCCAGTCCATATGGATACCCTTTAATTTGGGAGTGGGTGGTCCCATGGGTACGGGTAAACAAATACTGCCATGGATCCATTTGGAAGATTTATGTCGCCTCATTCAACATTGCTTGGAAAACAAAGAGTGTAAGGGAGTATTTAATGCTGTGGCACCCGACATTGTAACAAATGGTGAATTTTCCAAGGTATGTTTGTGGTCAAGTACTACTCCCCAAGTTTAATATCACTCTTGAGTAATTTCTCACTTACTGGGAGGGATGGAAAATTAAAAAATTGGAACATAAAAATGTAGTTTCAAATATATGCTCTTTTCCAGAACCTGAAAGAATCTTAGTAAAAAATCTTATATTCTTGCAGTCCTTTAAAGTACTATAGTCTTTCATTTTTATCCTTTTTAGCTCCCTTTTCCTATCAAAAATATTGTGAATGAGAAATTTTACCTATTTGAACATTTCGAATTTAACTAATAACCAACAATATTTTTTTTTGTCCTTTCAGACCTTTGCTTCAGCCTTACATCGACCCTGCCTCTTTGCTGTACCCGAATTCGTTGTTGACTTAATGTTTGGCAAAGATCGCTCAGCTTTACTGTTGAGCGGTGCCAAAATCGAACCCAAACATGCTTTGGATACGGGCTTCGAGTTCAAATATCCCACTGCCAAACTGGCCTGTCAGGAAGTGGTGAAGAAACAATGAACCAAATTGAAAAAAAAAACATCTGTAAACGATAACATTACATACATAACATGGCTTTTTGTGATTGGTACTTTTATAAAAGTAGGTCTAATATGATGTTCCTTATTTATACTAATAATTTCTTTCAAATGATTTTGAACAAATTGTGTAATATATAAAAGAAATCATATTATTTATTTATGCCAAAAATATAGAATGAATCTTTTCTTAGTTTTTTTTGTGTAAAAATATATATGAAATAATTTCGAAACTATTTTAAATAAGAACTGTTTAAATAGTAAAGTATGGAGAAATGTCTAAGAATTTCTATTTGTCTTTGTAAATAAAGTGTCTTCTAAATATTCTCAGCTAGGATACTGCAATTTCTATAATCCTGCTGTCCTGTTGTAGAACATCCAAGAAATTATTAATTTTGCATTTTTTTTCAATATCATAACCGGGAAAGTCGTTTAATTCAGTAGAATTTTTACATTCTTGCAGTTCTGCAACAGACAAATGTTTCTTTTGCTTTTTGTAATAAAATTTTTGGAGATTGGTCTCAGATTACGTATATCAGTTTTGAATGACTTCAACAGTAATTTGAGCATTTTATCGTACACACGGAGTACGTTTTTAGTAAAGTACGTATATGGAGATACTCTCGATACGATTATTTCACAACTTGAAAAATTTTTGGTTTGGGTCTCTCGGTCCAATCTTTTTGGTGATTTAATTTCTGGATGCTGTATTTGTCTACGTTATCATGCGAACCCATTACATCGATGACAAGCAATTGATATATGAAAAATTCCGTTACACTCATCACTGATATCGAACGTCATCTTCTTTTGAGAGTTGGATTTGAAGATCAGCCCTTCAAATGATCATAGAGGAGCCATGGATTAAATTATATCGGTATAAAAGCTAGAAAATATTTAACTTTTTCGACATTTTTCATCACATGTCTATCACATATACAAAAGTCGAAAGAAATAAAAAAAAAATAATTTTTAAACAATGAAATAAATCGTAAACAATACAAAGACAAAACCTAAAAGTTTTCTGGTGAATTTGGTAAGTACATGAAATTTAAAAATACTAAATTAATATAATTAATTGTTCTCCTAGTTTAATATCGCCTCTATGTCAAGAGTGATTTGTTCAATGATTTTGGAAGAAAGTCTTTTTAAAAATAAAAAATTAAATTAATAATATTACTAATATCTACGTTCAACTAAACATTCTCATATCCAAAGTCTGGACCGACGGGTTTCCAAGGGACCAAGCTCACATTATTTGACGTAGAGCTCCAAAATTTGGCAGAACAGTTTGTATTGTGTCTAGGATAGTTGGTATCGGTTTACGTTTTGATATAGCCCCCATGTAACGGTACCTCCCGGTATTCGGTATTTTGATGATTTTTTCCACATTTTTTACGGATTTGTCTAAAAATTGGTAATTGTAGTTTATAATTAGTTCTAGCTCTGGTGGCAGAACATTGAATGTTTAGGCCCACGTTTTCCTGTAGCGCACATATAACGATACCCAATGATATTCGGTATTTTGATAATCCCAGTCACTTTTACCCACGAAATTGTTTCAAATTTGGTATTTTAGAAGGTGACAATCCTTGAAGTATAAAATTGTCTATAGAGCTTCCCGTTTTGACATGGCCCCCATATAATGGCCTTACCTACTTTATGTTTTTTTTTTTTTTTTTTTTTTGAAAAGTTCAACTCCAAGTGGTCTTACTTGTATTTGTAGTTTAAAGTAGAACACGTTTGAATTCAGATACTTTTATATAAAATTTTTTCCTTTGCCTAATGGTGGAGAGTATTAAATATTCGGCCCGGCCGAACTTTATGTTTATGTTTTACTTGTTAGATTCATATTTCGCATTTTTAAATTCATATCATGAGGCAAAATAAAAAAGAAATGAGAATATCTTATTGTTCTACCTGTACCATGATTATTACTATTTGATAACAAAGAACTGAAACCAATCATAAAGTAATCCTTGTAACTGTTTAATAACAAATCGACTTATAAAAAATAAAATTATGTCCACTTTGTAGCGATATACATGAACTACTGCAATTTTTTAAATATGAATACACTTCGAAAGCTTTTATTAATATTAGCTTAGCAACAGTTAATGCTGTTTTTTCGCTTGCGGACAAAAGTCCAATGCATAGTCAAAAAATCTGGTTCATGGTTTAATAGGCACGTTTCATGAAGAAACAATGCAAATTGTATTGTTTGAAAATTCTAAAGCAAGGAGTATGGATGAAATAAAATTTTGCAAAAAATGTACAGTAACTCATCAATTGAGAACGGCTAGGCCGATTTGACTCAAAATTTCTTTCGGTAATTTTGAAATTGCATTTCATCCATATTTTTTACGAAAGACAATTTAGAGAAAAACCTGTAGAAAAGTCGCGAAACTCAAAAGTGGTTTTTTGATATGGAATGTTCTGTGAAATTGTTCCAGAGTGGCTTTTCGAGTAATACGAACTTGAAAGAATCTACTAGTTTTGCAATTTTCTTCGATATTATAAGGGGGAAATCGGTTATCGTAGTAAAAACTTTTACATTCTTGCAGTTCTGGAACAGACTTTTTATCATACATTGCATTATATGATGAGTGAATTTTTAAATATTACACTACAATTTTACATACAGTGTGAGATGAAAAAACTGCAATCAACTTCAGACTGCTGTCATTTCTAAGCCAACAGTGACAGTGAGAATTTTCCAGAAAAAAAGTTAATTGTGATGGAATTCAAGCGTTGTAGTGTGATTTCTTTATATTTGGCTGGAAAACCACAAGTGGCGTTAGAGCACTCCAGCATTTATATGTGAATAAATCTTTAGTGTCTCGTACCATCGCTCGTTACTGTAGCCCAACGTCAAGGAAGTGGACGGAAGAAAACAGCCACATCAACAGAAATTGTTCGAAAAGTAAAGAAGCGACTTGATCGAAACCCGCGTCGCAGTGGCCGCAAAATGGCTCGTGAGCTGAACATATCGCAATATTCCATCCGGCAAATATTGAAAAGTAAGCTCGGGGTAAAGCCATTGAAATTCCAAAAAGTGCAAGAAGTTAATCCGCAAAAGAAAGGAAATAGACTCAAAAGAGCTAAAGAATTGCCTCGCTTGGCCGAAAGTGGTGAACTCCTGAACTTGGTTTTCTCCGATGAGAAAACGTTCGTTGTCCAGAAGTTTGTAAACAAACAAAATGATCGTGTTTACTTGCCCAAGAGGTCAGCTGAAAATGTACACCTTCGGTTGGCCACCAGAACTCAAGCGTCGGCCATGGTGATAGTGTGGGCCGCCATAACAGCCGATGGTCGCTCTCCGCTCGTATTAATTGACCGTGGCATCAGAATAAATGCCGAATATTATCGCGAAAATATTCTGGAGGGTGTTGGTCGCAAACATTTTGGACATTCCAACAGGACTCAGCACGCGCCACCCAAGAATGGTTACAAAATGAGGCTCCTCGCTTCATTTCCAGCGCACAATGACCACCAAAATCTGCGGATACCAATCCGTTGGACTATTGTGTCTGGAGTATTTTGGAAAGAAAAGTTGGCACTAAAAAATACCAAAGTGTCGATCACCTCAAGCAAGCGCTTCGGCGGGAATGGGCCATAATATTCGGGCAGCGCGTGACGGTTCATTGTCATTGGCCGTTTTGAAGGCCATAATTCGTGCCAAAGGTGACCAATTCGAACAAATCTAAACTATTTTCAACATTTTTTGCTTTCATTCAATAAAATTTAAAAAAAGTGTAAAAATGATAGTTTTCAATTTAGTAAATTGCAAATATTCAGTTTAGTACCACTTAGTACTTTTCAAACAATTATAGTATTTCCAAAACCATATCCATATCTTCACTACAGGCATCTTTCAGGATTTCAGCTCTATCTTTACCCAAAACCACATTTACTTCAATTTAGCACTTTTCGAACAACTATAGTAAGCCTCCACCTCCACCTCCCAATCTTAATCCCAGATACCAGCAGAGACCTCAATATCAAATTTTAGGATTCCAGCCCTATGGCTTCACCCAATAGAAAATTTAGTACCATTTCGTACTTTTCGAAGTACTGGACACATTTTCAAATCACCGCCAAATCTCAAACACAGATACTTTTCGTAAAATTAAACGTAAAATTTCCGAAATCGCTTCCTTATGTCCAAGCTACAAATGAACAGCGACCCTAATACCAAATTTTAGATTTCAATGACAAATTGTATCAAATATAGTACTATTTTTTAATTTTCGTTCACTTGTAGTACACATTTCCCAAATCCACAATTTTACCACAAACCTACCACCAACAAGGATTTCAATACAAAACCAAACTGTTTCAAACTTATTACCATTTAGTACAGTTCGCACACTTAGTACACATTTCTAGAAGCACAATCATATATCAAATTTAATTTCAAACCTTGATTCTCATACCAAAATTCAAGTTTTTAACTTTATAACCATTTTAGAAGTTTAGCACTATTTTAGAACTTTACGTAACTTTAGATTTCGAATTTCCAAAAGACCTTTGGTACATCTATCCTGCACTCCATCGTTAATTTTCATTCCAAATTTCAGAATTCTCGATCATTCCGTTTGTCCAATACGTAGTATTCAAAGAGTGGCCCTCGTGCAAAATTTCAGAAATCTCTTCCACAATAAATATATGTTCAACAGAAGTATTTTGATCACATGTTACATATTGTTGATTTAACTAGAACTTTATATAATTATTGACCCCGCGTGAAATATTACATGTTATTTTCAATTCAATTCTGCGAAATACCACCAAATATACAATGCGATAAATTCGAACATTAATTGTTTTATTTTTTGGAAAGAATTTCAATAATCTAGACCAGTTTCAATTGTTACAGATCAGTTCAATATATCCATCGGGGTTTCTGCGTCCTTCTTTGTTTTCGTCGGGTATTATTGTTGTTTAATTATTTAGTCCAAAATACATCGAATATACATTCGTTCTTTTTTGGTAAACAGGCACGTATACCCATTTTTTTTGGTGTTTGTAAATTTCTCTAGGCATCTGTTTCTTCTAAGATTGAATAACAAGTATCATTTCAATCACAATGTTTAATGTTAATTCTAATTAAGCTTTTATGAATACAAATTTGGTTTGAGATTTTTACCTGTTTACGTTTGTTGTTTCCACAGAAGATTCCATATGGCATCGGCTATTAATCTGTCAAATCTTGTGATACACCTATGGAATTAATATCCTTCGGTTGTTTTTTGAAATTGAAATTGTATTTGTTGTTGCTACGGATTTGTATTTTTGTACTTAAAATCATTTTAGGGTAATATTTAGATAGGGTTGGTTTTAAAAATGCATTTAGATTGTACCTTTGCACAATTTTAGAGTACAGGGTGAGATGAAACAAAGTCAAACGGCATAATTTTTAAATTTTTTTAATTTTATTAAATTAAAGCAAAAAGTGTCGGAAATACCATTAAATTTTAGAATAAGTTTAGATTTGTTCGTATTGGTCACATTTGCCACGAATTATGGCCTTCAAACGGCCAATGAAACCGTCACACACTGTCAGAATGTTGCTCTGCGGTATTTTGGCCCATTCCCGGCGAAGCGTTTGCTTGAGGTGATCGACACTATTTTTTAGTGTCAACCTTGCTTTCCAAAATACTCCAGATACAGTAGTCCAACGGATTGGTATCCGGAGATTTTGGTGGCCATTGTGCGCTGAAAATGAAGTGAGGAACCTCAATTTGTAACCATTCTTGGGTGGCGCGTGGTGGTGGCGATGGTGCTGAGTCCTTTTGGAATGTCCAAGGTCTACGGCCAATATGTTTGGGTGTCCGAGGCTTTAATACACCCTCCAGAATATTTTCGCGATAATATTCGGCATTTATTCTGATGCCACGGTCGATTAAGTCGAGTTCTGGTGCCCAACCGAAGATGTACATTTTCAGCTGACCTCTTTGGCAATCATTGGGCAACGAATGTTTTCTCATCCGGGAAAACCAACGCTTGTAAAAAATACAATGAGCTGTCACTGGAGCAATTTTAACAGCTGTCGGACAAGTGGCTTAGAAATAACAGCAGTCTGAAGTTGGTTGCAGTTTTTTCATTTCACCTTGTACAGAAAAAATCGGTTATCGGAGTAAAAACTTTTACATTATTGCAATTCTGGAACAGGCAAAATATTTTTCCAATGAAAATAGGGCTCGCTGTGATGGAAAATGTATATATGTACCATGGTAGAATAATACAGGTAGTCGCATCAACACAATGAACTGTCAAACCAATTTTAAAATTGAAAATTTTTAATGAACAATTTTTCACATTTTGAAAAATTAAATTATTAAAAAAACATTTTAAAATTGTTTACATATCAACATTCTTAAGCGTTGATACATCTACTTGTATTATTCTACCACAATATGTACCTTACTAATGTATTTCACAACTAAAATGTTGTCCATGTATCACACGATGTGTGCAACTTCTACATATGGAGCATTTGACACCGCATATGTAAAAAACATATCGTATGATAGAGCCTTTACAGAAGTGTTTGCTACTACCTTAAATAAGTTTATCGTAGGGTTATATATTATTATTTATTGGAGTAATTAGATTTCATGTCTCCAAAAAGTCCTTTCCGGTTCCCATTATTAAAAACATATTATGTTTCAACTATAAAACGTGCAGATTCGACCTTGAATGTTCAGCATCAATTGTTAGACATTGGTCTAGACACATAAAAAATCCCCAAAAATTCATTATTATATGCATTTTATTAGTCACAAGACTCAGAGACAAGACAAAGAATATTAATTTTTTTATAAATAAAACTAGATCTCATTTGAAGTGTATAGACACCATATTATTATTATAATCATTTCTATTTGTTTAATGCTAATGAAAGACACGTTCTGAATCAAGCAACCGTCGTCTATGCAAAGTGCATTGACTTTAATGTTGGCGTTATAGAAAGAGAGCGACAGAGAAAGCGCTTCTTCTTCCATTTAAACTATAATATGTGTCGAAACTAATTTTGGATGCATATAAAAATTAATGTGTCTAGAAGCAGAATTTAATTGCTCTAAATATCACCTGCAAACGAAAGTGTGTTAATAATACTAGTTTAAATATTGGAATTATTGGATAAAATTACTGGATGTTGTTGTTTACGAATTGTGAGTCAATTCTTTCTGTTTACTGATTGGTAAATAATTTATTCGAATAACCAATTTTTTTTTCGTGAAAGGTGTGCTCATATGTTACAACTTGTCCTAATTGAAAAACGAGTTGGGGCTACTGTAAACAGGCCCCTTTTTGTATTGCATGCAATAATATTGGATGTATTGGTTTCATTTCGTTCTATTGTTTGTATAGAGTATATACGAATTAGGCAGGGATTCTAACCGAAAACTTTGATGAAAATTTTAAAATGTTGTCTGTTGCTTGATTGACTGAAAGTGGTGATATCAATGTTTGTGTTTTATGCACCAGCGTAGTAAAAAAACGACAAATAGAACTGTAGAAACATAACTATATGTGAATACGACAAATATAAATAAAACCATTAAAATGGCGGCCAATACCATTTTAGAAGGAACGTGATAATTTTTCAAAAACTTCCGAAAACTGAATGAAAACTGTTATATGGAGACTATACGAAGACGTGATTTTTTTTTGTCATATGCTGTAGTACCAATTACGAACTTTAAATACGAAATTTGTTACAATTCCGGTGAATAATGTCGCACAAATCATAAAAATACCGAGTATTGGGAGCTACCGTCATATGGGGGCTATACGAAGACGTGGGTCTGCATTCAAAAATGTTTGTCATAGCCTTTAGCACCCATTACGTTTTCAAATACGAAATTTGAAATAATTCCGATAAATAATGTCGCTAAAATCATTACTGTCGCTAAAACATTACTAAAATCACTACTGGTAAACTATGCATATATGCAAAATTTTAGCCTTCTATCTCAATTCGTTCGAAAGATAGCGTGATTACAATAGACGGATAGGCAGACAGACGGACATCGCTGGATCTTAGAATTTTACGCTGATCCAGAATATATATACTTAGTAGGGTCTATTACGGAATGACAAAGTTAATATACCCTCCATAGAATGATGGAGGGTATAATGAATCCTTTGCTAAGGAACAGCCTGCCATTTTCTAAAGATTTATTCACATTTAAGTGCTGGAGTGCTCTAAAGACAGCCACTTGTGGTTTTCCAGCCAAATATAAAGAAATCACACTATCACGCTTGAATTCCATTACGAATAACTTTTATTCAGGAAAATTCTCACCAAAATGCTTTTGTATGAAAACTAAGGATTTTTTACTACAAATTTCCTTAATTTTTCTATTGAACTCCTTAGGTACTTAGAATAGATTTTTTCCACAGTCAGGTGCCAAAAAGGGACAATATCGGTCCACTCCATCAAGTACCTCCCCCACAAAGGGTCAAAATTTTGAATGATTCCATTCAGTTTTGGCACATGTCAATATTTCTATCAATACAAGATTTGTTATAAAGAAGGTAGAGATCGGACCATTCCTTCCAGCATCTCCCCCAAAAAGGGTCATTTTTTAATAACCAAAACGATTATATAAATCCGGTTTTCGTATTTTACACATCCCATTATTTCTACTAACACAAGATCTGCAGTGAAGATGGGATATTTCGCTCTACTCCTCCTGATACCTCCCCCACAAAGGGGCAATATTTTTGAATATCCATGAAGCTCATAAAGCGCAAAATTAACACCGATTCCATTCACACTTAGTACATTTCAATATTTTCATCAACACATGATTTGTGATAAAGATGGTAAAGATCGGACCATTCCTTCTAATACCTCCCCCACAAATGGTCAAAGTTCTGAATAACCAAAACCCTTATAAAATCCGAAATAAGCATCCGGTTCTTTTCAAATTTCACACATCCCATTATTTCTGCTAACACAAGATCTGCTGTGAAGATGGAATATATCGGTCCACTCTTTCTGGTATCTCCCCCACAAAGGGTCAAAATTTTGAATATCCATGAAGTTCAGACTTGGCAAATCTCAATATTTTCATCATCACATGTTCTGTGATAAAGATTGTAAAGATCGGACCCTTTCTTCGGGTACCTCCTCCTCATAAGGTTCAAGATTTTGAAAAACAAAACGCTCAAAGAATGCGAAATAAGCATTCAACTCTGTTAAAATTTCACACACCCAACTTTTTTTTGCTAATGCAAGATATGCTGTGAAGATGATATATATCTGCCAACCCCTTTGGGTGCTTCACCAACAATATGTATTTCTGTCATAACTTGCGAAACAAGTCGGCAAGCAATTTGCTATATCTAAATATTTATGTATTAAATAAAGTATAAAATTGGAATACTTCAGTCCGCTATATCTGTTACTACACGCATATTTCCACATTTTCCAAAAATTTGCACATATCTCATATAAAGTATAGGAAGTAGTCGAAATAGCCCAAATCTGGCACGTTGTAATATTTATATCAGTCTTAGATCAGATACGAATTGGTCAATATTGGCCAACTGCTTCGGAACCCCCCTTCATAAAGGGTCAACAGTTTAAATAATCATAACTCAAGGCTAGGAGTATACATCTGTCGGCAAAACCGACTGATACTATTTTACTTGTTAGTATTGAGTGTGGTATTATTTTGTTTTAAGACTATCACTTGAGCTTGATTGGGCGCCAACGGCACATATCAGTCTTAGATTAGATACGAATTGGTCAATATTGGCCAACTGCTTCGGAACCCCCCTTCATAAAGGGTCAACAGTTTAAATAATCATAACTCAAGGCCAGGGGTATACATCTGTCGGCTAAACCTGACTGATACTATTTTACTTGTTAGTATTGAGTGTGGTATTATTTTCTTTTAAGACTATCACTTGAGCTTGATTGGGCGCCAACGGCACAAAATATTTATACTACGAATATTTATACACGAGTATTGATGCCTGGCAAAGTAACCAAGTTGCCAACGAAACCCTTGTATTTTCAATAACTCCCAATTGAATTCAAATTGCAATAAAAAGCGTGTGACGCACATTTACTGGAATAACAAATAATTGTTATTATACATATACATATGTATGAATATATTTTTTTTAAAATTGTATTTGTTAATTCAAACAAGTCTTATACTAATATAAATTTCATTATAGAAAGTATTTACACACAAATACTTAGTATTTACATTAAAATCACGAGACCTTGAAATCTCCAAATTTTGTTCTTAGTAGTAGAGGTTTTTTGTGATTTTCACTTTGATGCGGGGAGGTCACAGCACATCGGGCAAAAGAAGTCATCGAACAAATACCGAAGCAGGGCACAATCCGTAAATTTGCCGTATCAACCAGATCTTAAAATTTGTTCGGCAAATTTTCCATTTTGAAGTTCCTGAATACGTTTCAGAAGATCATAATTTATCCGGTCACTGACAATGGAGTCATGTCTGAAGAAAAAGTGAATTGAAATTATTTAATTAAAATTTTGTAAACATTTTAATATTTTTATAAAAACAAAACAACTTACTTGTACTCTGGATGTTTCAGAACTTGTTCTCGTATCCATTGAGCGCCGGTTAGTATTTCACCCGAAGCCCGTTTTTGTAAATAAGTTAGATATTTTTCTATTGTTCCATAGGTATTGCTGTCAACGTCCATGGTTTCTAAATAACTGAATATTAAGGGTATCAAGCCTGGACATGTGTTGGACTGAAATTGAAAAATAACAAATGTTAAATTAATTAAATTTAAAAACAATAATTAATAAAAGTGGAGAAGCCTGACGTTTACTCGGGTGACTTTTAATAAAATTAAATAAGGGCAGAAATACATAAAGCACATATTTGGCTGGCTTAAGTCATCGGCTGGCTTCCTTGTAGATGAGCAAATGAGTTTTAAGTTGGCTTAGTTCGATTTTGGCCCTAGGCTCCTTTGTTCACTTCCGAAGAAGCCATCGGATGACTTAAGCCAGCCAAATAAGCGCTTTATGTATTCCCACCTTAACTATTCTAATAAAAATACTATTCAATAATTTATGACACATAAAAGTATTGCAAATTGTGACCCTTTGTGTGTGAGGTACCAGAAGGGGTTTGCAGATATATATCATCTTCACAACAGACCTTGTGTTAGAAAAAATGTTTGTTGTTTGTTTGAAATCTGAAGAGAGTTGGATGCTTATTTCGCTTTCTATGGGCGTTTTGTTTTTCAAAATCTTGAATCCTATGTGGGGGAGGTACCAGAAGAAATCGTCCGATCTCTATCATTTTTATATCAGGTCTTGTGTTAATTTCGCATTTTATGAGCTTCGTGAATACTCAAAATACTCTTGTGTTAGCACAAATAATAGGATGTATGAAATATGAAGAGAACGGGAGGCTTATTTCGGATTTTATGATCGTTTTTGTTATTCTAAATTTTGACCCTTTGTGGGGGAGATACCAGAAGGATTGGTCCGATCTCTATCATCTTTAAAAAAGATCTTGTGTTGTTGGAAGTATTTAGATCTGTCAAGTCTGAATGGAATCGGATGTTAATTTCGCATGTTATGAGCTTCATGAATATTCAAAATTTTGACCCTTTGTGGGTGAGGTACCAGAAGGAGTGGACCGATTCATCCCATCTTCACAACAGATCTTGTGTTAGTAGAAATAATGGAATGTGTGAAAGATATGGGGAACCTGATGTTTATTTCGGATTTTATGGTCGTTTTGGTTATTCAAAACTTTGACCCTTTGTGTGGGAGATACCGGAAGAAATGTTCAGATATTTACCATCTTTATAACAGATCTTGTTTTGATGAAAATATTGAGATGTACCAAGTCTGAATGTAATCGGATGTTACTTTAGGATTTTATGAGCTTTATGGATATTCAAAATTATGACCCTTTGTGGGGGAGGTACCAGAAGGAGTGGACCTATATTGCCCATCTTCACACCAGACCTCGGGTTAATAGAAATATTGTGATGTATGTAATTTGAAGACAATCAGACACTTACATGAAATTTTATAAGAGTTATAAATATTCAAAATTTTGACCTTTTGTGGGGGAGGTATTTGATGGCCTGGCCTAGCACTCATGGAAATATTAGGATTTAAAAAGTTGGAGCGAAAGCGGATTATCCTACCTCTTTCTGTGCAAAAAAATATTTTTTGGAAATTTCGACCTTTTGTGGGGGAGGTACCAGAAAGATCGAACCGATGTATTCCATCTTAATACCAGACCTTCGGTTTATAAAAATATTGGGATGTGTGAAATTTGAAGACAATCGGACTCTTACATCAAATTTTATAAGACTTGTAATTATTCGAAATGTTGACCCTTTGTGGGGGAGGTACTTGATGGAGTGCACCGATATTGTCCATTGTCGCACCTGAAGTAGCATTGACGCAAATATTAGGATATGCAAAGTTGGAGATAATTCGGATTATCCTTTCTCTTTCTGTGCAGTAAATTGTTTTCTTTGAACATTTTTACATTTTGTGGGGGAGGTACCAGAAGGAGCGGACCGATATGGCTCATCTCCGAAGCCGATCTCAGTTTGTCAATAATATTACGATGTACCAACTTTGGAACAAATCAGATATTACCTTCCAGAGTTATCGTGCGGATGGACGTAGATCGCTAGATTGACTCCAAATGTCCTGAGACGGATTTGGTCCAAAGAGACCTAGGGTCTAAAACAGTTATTTCGATGAGGCACGTTTTGGCCGTATCAAATGATATATACCCTCTCTAGCCATATGACTGAGGGTATAAAAATTTTTTCAGGAGAGAGTCACGTTCTGACTGACTAGCTTAGTTTCGGCTATTAGATGGTAATTCTGATTGCATTTTCAGCATTGGAATTGAATAACATAAACTCTTAACTACATCCTGAAACCCAATTATTCCATCACAACTCACCTTTCCATTAATAATATCCCCAATTGTCATTAATTCATATTCCTCCTCTTCATCTCTTCCAGCCTCTGTGTGATAACCATTCATAGTCTCGCAACCATTGTCATTACCACATCCATTACTTTCCATGCTGCCAGAAGTATTGAAAATATTACGGCGAAAATAGAATTTTCCCTGCCGGCATGCATCCCTCTTCTGGGCCGTCTTCATGTTTTCATCGACCCGGCTAATGGGCAGCAACAAATTCAGATCATATGCCAATATCACCCGGGTAAGTAGAATAATGAAGCAAACTACAGCGGCATTTTCAAAATCGCTTATTTGTACATCACAGGGACGAAATTCGACTCTCCAGCCAATGGAGGAGTTTGGTGGTGGTGGCTTGAAACGCATTGTCTGCCAATTTGTGGATTGGATATTTTCAAAATGATCGGTGTCCTCCTTGTCGTTCTGATAGACCTTTTCGCTGAGCAAACAAATCGTGTCACGCACAAACAAGTGGGCTATGTGTTGGGCCATTAGGTGGTCGACACCACCCTGTCTCAGGTGTTCATAGTCCCGTTGATGGTATGGCAGTGGTATGTCATTGTACTTTTCACCCTCTCCCGAGAGATATGAACTTATTGAGTCACAACGTGATTTGGGTATAAAGGATTTATCTTCTGGTGTGCGACAATCTACCGAGGAACTTATTATCTGCCAACGACAATCTGTCTCTGTTAAATATCCTCTGTAGATGGGGGCAGCTGCGGTCAGTGCCAACATTATGGGACACATTGTGGCCAATTGATCATATAGCAAACGGCCCTCTTGCATATTTGCCGCCTGAAAAGTGACCTGTAAACAACCACAACCCATGCCCAAACCTGTCGCATCCAGCAACACAACATCTGGTTCATTTATGGGGCTTCCTTCCACTGGATATTTGGTAAATTTATCCTTGAATACTTTAACTTTAATGGCCACCTTTTCACCTCTACGCATTCGAACATTCTTGGCAGCTGTCTTGAAACGTGGATGACCACTAAACGATGCCTCATCGGGATAATATTTTGACATTGTCACCGAATTTGGATTATTCGGTTGTGGTTTATATACTGGATAGGTAAAGTCCTCACAACCCAAACGGGGGAAATTTGTCATCGACAAAATACATTCATCGCGTTCCAAGAGATCCGTGACTTCTTCACGACGATGACGCATATTGGCTTCCAACATTGTGAAATGTGTAAGAAAACCCTCGAATGGTTTTCCCGGAGTACCTTCAATCATATACGCCCCGAACTCAGGACGCCAGAGTGCCTTACAAGCATGTGGATTAGTTTCTTCCTTTTCATTTAAAATATCCAACAATGACTGAGCCTTCAAAGCTACTTGGGCTTTTTTCTGACGTTCATCGAATTTAACTAAAATATATTCGATTTCATCACCCCATTTCAGGGTGTCGCCACTGCGATCCTTGAGTCGATGATAATGATTTATAAATTGTTCAATGCCATGACGACGCACATGATCGGCCAAGGCTTTGGTTTCGGGCCACGAGAGAGGTCTGCCTTCTGTTAAGAGACCCATTTCTGGAAAACAAAATAAAAATAAATAAAGTAAAAGAAAGATAAATTAAATAAAATTTTGATTTTTAAGAAAAAAAGTAGCCTTATTAATGACCAGGAACTACGTGGGAGGATATTTCTACAGAGCAGATGATGGGGACAACACCTGTTATTTCGTTAAATTTTACTCTAGGAAAAATTTTCTTTTACAGAAAAGTACCCCATTATCATCCCAATCATGAATATCCGAGCGGAATTCTATTTCCATTATCATTTTTTGGAGAGATATATGTAATATGCGAATATGGCAACGCGAATGGGTCTTTTTCGTACCTTGTGTATCCTATTTGTTGTATAAATTCGAGTAAATTTGAAGTTCTTTTGTTTTGTATACCCTCCACCATATATATTTAAAAAATATATTTTCTGTACAGAAAGAGAAACGGTAATCCGATTTTGCTCCAACTTTGCAAATATTTGCATCAGTGCTACGCCACGTGCGAAAATGGTCAATATCGGTCCACTCTATCAAGTACATCCCCCACAAATAGTCAAAATTTTGAATAAATACAACTCTTATAAAATGTGATTTATGAGTCCGATTGTCTTCAAATTTCACACATCCAAATATTTTTATTAATCCAATGTCTGGTGTTAAGATAGAATATATCGGTCCACTTCTTCCGGCACCTTCCCCACAAAGGGTCAAAATTTTGAATGTTCATGAAACTCATAAAACACGAAATTAACATTCGATTCCGTTCAGACTTGGCACATCCCATTATTTCTATAATATAATACAAGATCCTCTGTGAATATCGGATATATCGGTCCACTTCTTCTGGTACTTCCCTCACAAAGGATCAAAATTTTGCATATCCACGAAACTTATAAAGGGGCAAAATTTTGAATAATTATATCTCTAATAAAATGTGAAATAAGCATCCGACTCTATTCAAATGTCACACATCCCAAAAATTCTATTAACACAAGATCTGGTGTGAAGATGAGATATATGGATATACACCTCTCCCACAGAGGGATCAAAAATTTTTATAGCCAAACGCCCTTAAAATATGAAAAAGGCTTTCGATTCTTTTTAAACTTCACACATACCAATATTTCTACTAACACAAGATATGGTGTGAAGATGATAGATATCAACATACCCTTGTGGTGAGACCCCTTTTTGCCCGCTCCCTCTGATACCTCCTATTCCACAAAAAGTTGAAATTTTGATTCCAATAAATTTGAAACTAAATGTTCGATTTTCTTTGCATTTTGCAGGTCCCAATATTTTTATTATTATTAGATTAAGTGGAATACTTCGATCCACTATATTTGGCACCCCACGCATATTTCAACATTTTTAAAATAATCACATATCTCATATCAAGTAAATAGTCGCTATAGTCCAAATATGGTACGTTAAAATATTCATATCAGACTTATATCAGAAGGGAGTTGGACAATGTTTCGGAACCTCCCCCATAAAGGCTCAACATTTTGGATAATAAATTCGGATGCCAAAATATGTTTGAATAAAGGGACAATAGCTGAGGGTATACAATCAAAGAGGGAGATTGGAGTTTTATTTCCTTTAAACACCCTCCATTTTCGTTACTTTGCGATGTGAACTTTCAAAACGCCGATACACGTGTCTTCTCGTTTTTATAGCTTTACTTTCTTAATCTACTTCATTTTCTTTGTGATTATTGGAAAAATTCAATTTTGTTAGCACAGTGTTTTAGAATTACTCCCATTTTTATTCTTAAATTTTTAAAAGTATGTGTGGTTTGTAATTATATCTATAATTTTGGTTAGACGTTTTTTTTTTTGATAATGAGATGGCGTATGTATCTAAGTTGTGCAAGTATATATGTTAGTTTGTATTCCCCATGAAATCATCACAACACTCATTAAACCATTATATATTTTTCACTTTCCATGTACGTAATTTTTTCAATATTTAATCAAATAACGATTTCTTCCACATTACATAACATTCACTTAAATATTGTTTTTTTTTTTTTAATAAAAAATTACCTTTATTTCAAACAAAACAAAAAATAAAAAAATCAGTCACAATCTTAGAATTAAATTTATTTTTCAACACTTCAATTTAAATCCAAAGTCCCAGTTCTTGGTTAAAGGCAACACTTCACTTGCATCACTGTCCCTAACTGAAATAAATGATTCGTATCGAATAAATACCAGGTATTTATCTCGAAATTCGGTATTGTTTTCCTACCAATTCAAGATTGCAATTACAACTTGCTTTTGGAAGAATACAGAAATTGGGATATGAATATAAAATTCGGGTGAGTAGAAACACGTTTGGGATTTTAAAAAGAGCAGTCGGCGTCTGCAGCAGTGCATTAGAATGCAAAATAATACCTGCGGTGTTGTCGTCGTCGTGTGTGGTGTTGATGTGTTTTTGTCATCGTCGACGTTGTCGTCGTTTGGGCATTGCATATTGATAGGCAAGATATTGAATTGAAACAATAACAATTATTACTCCTCTCAGTTATATCGTAATTCTTAATTAAATAAAATTAAGAAGATCGGTAATTTTGGCCATGACTTGACAAACATTTTTGGAATAATTTAGCATTTGGCGTTGTTACCAACTGCCACAGATACATATATAAATATTTATTTTAAATTTCAAACATTTTCCAAACGTGTTCAAGAAGTATTCAAGCAATGTAGAAAATCAATAAGCGTGTATGTTTTGATGAGTCGAATAAATGATTTAGATAAGGGACAAAGTCTCCTTAGCGCATCGTATAAAATTCAGGGGCATAACAAAGAAAACACGTTTATTTTCAGTACTGGCTATTAATTAGGTCTGTACGAAGAGAGCTCCAATTATTTTCGGGACGAATTAGTATTCTTTATCGTTCCTTTTTATAAATGAAAAGTTTTTGAAGCTGGCAGTCTTTTACATGCAGTGGCGCCCAACGGAAGTACAAGTGTGAATAGTGAACAAAATATTGTTTTTTTTTTTTATTAAAATTTGCAAACAATTGGACTGTTGCGAATAATTTGTGGGCAATGAACACGGGAAAGTGTACGACAGAACTTCAATCACATATAGGGAAGATGTCGACAGATTTTTATAATTCAATTCGTAGAGTGCCATAACTGGTATCAGTAGTGCCATTCTGTTAGTCTGAAACAGAAGTGAAAGAATGTAAGACTTTTAAGTACCATAACCGATGTTCCCCTTATGATATCGAAAACAAGTAAAAAACGATATTTGAATACCCTTCACTATTTGGAACGATTTTGGCAATACCTAAATGCGAAACTTGAATAAAAAAATTCGGTGAATATTGTCGCTAAAATCATCAAAATTCCGAATATAGGGAGGTACCGTTATATTGGGTCTATACGAAGACGTGGACATGCACATACAATTTTCTGTCATAGGCTGTAGTACCCATTACGAACATCAAACACCAAATTTGAAACAATTCCGGTAAATAATGTAGCACAAATCGTAAAAATGCCGAGTATAGGGAGGTACCGTCATATGGAGCTATACGAAGACGTGGACCTGCATACAAAATATTTGTCATCGGCTGTTTGAACTTCAAATACAAAATTTGAAACAATTCCGATAAATAATGTCGCTAAAATCGTCAAAATGCCGAATATCGGGGGGCACCGTTATATGGGGGCTATACGAAGACGTGGACCTGCATACAACAATTTTTGTCATCGGCTGTAGCACCCATTACGAACTTCAAATACAAAATTTGAAACAATTCCGGTGAATAATGTCGCACAAATCGTCAAAATACCGAATATCGGGGTGCACCGTCATATGGGGGCTATACGAAAACGTGAACCTGCATACAACAATTTTTGTCATCGGCTGTAGCACCCACTACGAACTTCAAATACAAAATTTTAAAAAATTCCGGTGAATGATGTCGCTAAAATCATCAAAGTACCGAATATTTTGAGGTACCGTTCTATGGGGGCTATATGAAATCGAGGACTTGTACGGAAAATTTTCTGTCATACTGTGTACCATCCGTTACGAACTTAAAATACCAAATTTGAAACAATTCTGCTGAATAATGTCGCTAAAATCATCAAAATTTCGAATATTGGGAGGTACCGTTATATGGGGGCTATACGAAGACGTGGACCTGCAAAGACAATTTTCTGTCATAGGCTGCAGTATCCGTTACGAACTTTAAATACCAACTTTAAAACATTTCCGGTGAATAATGTCGCTTTAATAACCAAAATACCGAAAAAGAGAGGTGCCATTATATGGGGGCTATATCAAAACGTGAACCTACATCACCCATTTTCAATACCAAAAGTCCTGCAGACATAATACACATTTGAGAAAAATTTTATCAACCTGCTTTATTTTGTTCGGAAGCTAGAGTGATTTCCACAGACGGACGGACGCAAAATCGGCATAGAATTTTATGCTGATCAAGAATATATATACTTTGTAAGGTCTAAAATGTATATTTCGAGGTGTTACAAATGGAATGACTAACTTAATATAATATAATAAAAAAATTGCAAAACTAGTAGATTACTTCAGGATCTGGAACAGAGCAAATTTGGGTAGAAAATTGCCTTTTTATTGCCCGTGTCTTTCGGTTACTTTTCCCCATTATCAGAAATTAAGAACATCATTGTACGAAATGCCGAAATCTGAAGGTGAGAACACATAGAACAAGTTTTTACTGACTTAATACAACGGCTGGCTTCTTCGTAAAGAAACAAAGGGGCGTAGGATGAAAAACCGAATTTAAAATAAATCCGTTTGTGAGAAGATCTATTTTGTATGGTAAATCTGGTAGAGTTAATCCGGATTAAGCAATAAATCCTAATAATGTGGGTTAATCTGGATAAAATGTTATATCTAAAATATTTCCCAGCAGTTCAATAATCAGTTGTTTTGTAAACAAACTAATTTTTAGCTTTTGATTTTGTTTGTTTACCCAAAGGAAAAGTCCAGCAGATTATAAAAATAGAGTTAAAAAAGGAAGACACGCGTATCGGTGTTTTGAAAGTTTGCATCGCAAAGGAAAATTTCCCCACATTTCTTCTTTTTTGAAATCTTTGGATAAGGATTCAAGGAAATCTCATCCTTAATGCGTTTATCTTAGGTATATAGTTTATTTGGTAATAAAATATGTAGGTAACGCTTACGAAAATACCTATGCAACAAATGGTCACTTGATTTTTTTTTTAACTCGAATTTTTTAAAAACCCCCAAAATTTCGAAAAAGAGTCCATTAGGGGGTATCTTAACTTTCCAAAATGCTACAATTTGTGCTAATACCTTTTCTGGGTCCAGAGATTTCTCTTCTGGGTATTTTCAAACGGGTAAGCGAACTCAAGTTTTCTAAATTTAACTGTTGTTGTAAGTAACAATATTGCCTATATCGGGTAAGTTGATCCGGGTCTAGCCCGGGTCTTGAACCCGGACTTTCCATGTCCATCTCACTCAAGTAAAAATTTTCAAGTAAATTCATTTTTAATTTAATACCAGGCGAATGGAATCGAACAAAAAGTGACCTCAGAATGTTGGCAGCATTACTGTTTATCATTGTTTGGAATAAATGTACTAAACATCAAAGCATGCATTAGGGAGCTTGATAATTTTCACCAAATTCTAATGGCCTGGAAGTATGCTTTGAATTTAATTTCATTTCCGTACTGCATTAGCCCTCAACACTTAAATTTAAATTAATCCAATAAAAACCCCAAGAAAATAGTTTTGTTGCTTTTATTCATTTGTACAAATTTTATTTAGATTTTGTTTACAATGATTTTTTGCTCAGTTTTTAATTTGTGTTTTTTTTTAGTTATTGTTGTTATACCCTACAACACTATGTGTTGAGGGTATTATAAGTTTGATTGGCCCAAAAATTATGTAACACCTCGAAATATTGATTTCCCACATAGGAAAGTATATATGGATCTTCCTAGCTCGCCGAGCTGAGTCGATCTAGCTATGTATGTCCGTCCGTCCGTCTGTCCGTCTGTCCATGTTAATTTGTAATCACTCTACAGGTCGCAATTATGGCCCGATCTCACGAAATTTAGAATGTAGGTGGGGTTTGGACCAGAATAGAACCCTATTGCTTTTGGAGATGATCGCCAAATGTTTAGGGGTTGAAATGGACCAAATACTGAAAAAATGTCGGATTTTGCAGTAGCTATACAGGTCACAATTATAGACCAATCGACGCGAAATTTCGCATGTAGATAGAGTTTAGGGCGGGGAAGAAGCCTACTAATTTGGGTGGTCATCGGATAATATCTAGGTAAAATAGACCATATCTTTTGTGTTGAAAAAAAATCAAAATTTTTCATTTAACCGTGAATATTTTAAATCCCGGCGAAATCACGAAGCCATGACAAGGTTACTTCTGACCTTTACATTGATGTTGACATCCAACAAATCGGATATATAGCTAAATATGTGCGATATATATGTCTATCAAAGAAGATATACTTGAAAGATCTCTTATATGTCGAGAACGGCAGAACTGATTTCGACAATTCTTATTAATTCAGAATGGCCTCTTGGCAGGAAAGAAAAAACGTCTAAAAAAATCGCATAAAAGTATCTCTCTAAAGATGAAAATATTGATTTTGTAAAATTTTCTCATATTTTTTTCAATTTTGTCATATTTTTGGCATATTTTCATTTGGAATTAAACATTTGGTAATATTTCTACAGCTAACAAAACTAAGTAGTTAGGATATCAGGATGTCATATACAGATCGCATTTATGGCCCGATCCTTACGAAATTTTGCATGCAGATAAGATGAGGGTCAGAATAGAAGCCTACTCTTTTTGGAGATGATCGCCATATATTTAGGGGTTGAAATGGACCAAAAAACTGCAAAATTGTCAGCAGGTCGTAATTATCGCCCGATCCTCAGGCACATTTGAATGGCCATCCAAAAATATTCAATGTGTGAAATAGTTTGCCAACTTTTGTAGACAAAGTACGAAAATGTCCATTACGGTGACTTTTTTGGAAATCTCAAATACAGGAAAGACGCACTTCTGACTATTTCGTTAACGCTGATTTCGTTGAAGAATATAATCAAATGTCTGTATCTCATATAGATGCGTTTCAGTCAGAAACCAATAATAAATGTTAATCTTTTGCCACTTCTGGGAGATTATAGGTTTTTGGGTAATATTTGTTCCGGATCTAGGAAGCCATTTAAGTGCAACATCTACCAATAAATTGGAAATGAGCAAATTAGTTTAAGTTGCTATTATTCGAAAATTAGAGAACAAAACCTGATGGTTTTCTTTTATTATTTGTCACAATATCTTGTGGAATTCTTTCGAGTATCTCGCCTATATAAACTTTATCGTTTATTGTAGTGTTGTAGGGTATTCAACGGTCGGCCCCGCTCGACTGTAGCCTTTGCTTACTTGTTTTTGTTTTGATTTATCAAGTTTGTTCATAAGTTCAATTTTGTTTTTATTAAAGTTTTTTTGTTTGTTTTTCTTGGTTATACGTATTCGTGTGACATTGTGTTAAAAATATATAATTTATATAGGAATTATATTTTATTGTTGGTTTGTGTTTTGTTTTTAAGTAAATAAATAAACACTTAATGTTTAAAAGGTTTTAAATGTTTGTTTGTTTCATCGTATCCTGTTGTTGGTTGTTTTTTTTTTTTTCTATGAAATAATTTAACAAATAATAAAAAATTAATAACTAGTATATATGTATGTATGCAGCAATTATGTATGTGTATATAAGAATATATATGTATTTGTATAACTATAACATAAATCCCATCCTTGTTGCTGCTGCCGCCGCTTGCATTCAAATTTCAATCAATTGATCACTTTTGTGAAGGAAAGTTTGCAACGTCCTCTCATCACCAATTATTAGCCTATCAAGACTATATGCAGTTCGTACATTTGCTGATTCCAAGCTTAGGGAGGAGCTTCCAAAGTAGAGAAAAACAAAAAAACCAAACAGAAGACGCTTGGCTTTGTTTCCAACTTCACCACTGTACCTCCTATCCCTCCTGGTTAGCCTTAACTGATATTTCATTTAATTTAAAATAACAGTTATAGTCAGCTGAAGCCAAAATAAATTTGGTGTGCTATCCGTCTTTTGCTTTTTATGTGCGCTCATCACAAACAGGCCAGGCCAAAACAACATTTAACATTTTATCTTGTTTTCCAGCAGTTTCTTCTTGCATTTTCCTAATGTATTCTCTGTTTAAACGTCGTTGCTGTCCAGTTTTGGGGTTTTTCTTTTTTGTTTTTCTAGCATCATTTTGTTTTATGGCAATATTGCCTTTGCTATTTGTATTACGTTTTACTACTACTGGCTACTTGTTGCTTCATTTGTTTTTCCATCACAGTTATCACCTTCCGCTACGTCGTCGTCGTCGTCTTTGTCAGCATCATCAACATCCTCATCATCATAGTGTTTCTTGTCGTTACCATATTTAAAACTATCACCTACATTTGGTCATATGCTTTCACAACAAACATTCAAATGTTTCTGTATGGCCATTGGTATGAAATCTTTTGTTTTTGTATGATTGCCTTGGCCAAGTAAAGTTGGCTCAATAAGATTGCCTTTTTGTATGGCCTCGATTTTCTTAAGAATATCATAATTAATGCTATCGCTAACAATGGAATCTTTTCTGTAAAGTGACAAAGTAGGAAGAAAACAGGGTTATTAGTTTGAATATCAAAAAAAAAAATCTTATTAGGACTTACTTATAGTCAGGATGTTTCAAGACCTGCTCTCTCATCCAGGTGGCCGTTGTCACCAATTCCCCGGAGGCTCGTCGTTCAATAAAACGCAAATATTGTTCAATGGTGCAGTGAGTATCTGTATCGACTTCCATCGATTGTAAGTAACTGCGTATTAGAGGCACCAAACCGGGAAAACCATCAGCCTGAAAAAATAAGGAATTTTTTTATTAGATATTATCCAGAAAACTAACATTAACATATATAACAAGGGCCTCAAATCGCTAGAAATCAGAAAAACTTCCATGACCCCCCTAAAATACAAAATGTTGGTCTTCTACAATATGAATGTGTTTATAGAACTCCTTTCGGAGAACGGCATCATAGCGCTCCCTCATAACACCAGCGGATTTTTGCCAAGAGGGGAGATAAGTCATCCAAACAAAAAAGTATAAAACTCGCCAGCCAGATAGGCATTTCTACAGTGCGATATGAAAAAACTGTAACCAATTTCAGATTGCTGTCATTACTAAGCCACTCGTCCGACAGCTGTTAAAATTATTCTAGTGACAGCTCATTATATTGTTTACAAGCGTACAAAAGCAAAGTGGCAATTTTCCAGATAAAAAGTTATTCGTGATGGAATTCAAGCGTGATAGCGTGATTTCTTTATATTTGGTTGGAAACCCACAAGTGGCTATCGTTAGAGCTCTCCAGCATTTAAATGTGAATAAATCTTTTGCATCTCGTACCATCGCTCGTTACCGTGATACGACGTCAAGGAAGTGGACGGAAGACAACAGCAAAATCAGCAGAAATGGTTCGAAAAGTAAAGAAGCGACTTGATCGAAACCTGCGTCGCTGTGGCCGGAAAATGGCTCGTGAGCTGAACATATCGCAATATTCCATTCGGCAAATATTGAAAAATGAGCTCGGGGTAAAGCCATTGAAATTCTAAAAATTGCAAGAACTTACACCGCAGTAGAAAGAAAATAGACTCAAGAAAGCTAAAGAGTTGCTTCGTTTGGCCGAAAGTGGCGAACTGCCATATTTGTTTTTTTTTTTTTTTTTTCGATGAGAAAACATTCGTTGTTCAGCAGTTTGTAAACAAACAAAATGATCGTGTTAACTTGCCAAAGAGGTCAGCTGAAAATTCTGGAGGGTGTATTAAAGAATGATTACAAAATAAGGTTCCTCGCTTCATTTCCAGCGCACAATGGCCACCATATCCGGATACCAATCCGATGGACTATTGTGTCTGGAGTGTTTTGGAAAGCAAGGTTGGCGCAAAAAAATGCCAAAGTGTTGATCATCTCAAGCAAGCGCTTCGCCGGGAATGGGCCAAAATTCCGCAGAGCAGCATTCGGGCAGCGTGTAACGGTTTCATTGGCCGTTTGAAGGCCATAATTAGTGCCTAAGGTGACCAATTCGAACAAATCTAAACTTATTCTAGAATTTTATGCTATTTCCGACATTTCAACCTCCTCTGGTTAGCAAGAATCTCAGGCATTATACTGAAGAAGGCAAATACAATTAAATGCCACAAAGACCAACAATAGTTTACAGTGGATTTGTGACAATGTGAATTATACCTGTCTACTTGACTTGGCGTTCGGGCCTGCACACTACTCTGCATTTCTTTTATTGGTCTGCCAACTTAAACAACTGACAACTGAGGATTATGGATACACTCAATGGAAGAAACCGACTATTTATTCTTGGAGTGTCCGAAGACATCACAGGATTCCTAAAAAAACTTTCGTTGAATCGAATGCTGGATATTAAACCTATGGGCAAAAAATTCGACTGACAGTACTAGGACTATCCATACTGCTATCCATATCTAAAAAAGTGTCAATCTCTGGTAATAGAAATCGGTCCAAAATTGTAGGTGTCGCTCTACAAATGGCGAGAAAAACCCAAGTCTTGTATTTTAATGGGGAACAATGTCAATTTGTCCGAACTTGGTGCTTCGTAATGCTTCTACCCATCTCAATTAATGTTTGATGATGAACCATAATAATACTCATATAATACCATGGGTATAAGATCTTCACATAGAAAGGTTTATGGCAAAATTTTAACATTCATATTCATTTCCGCTTTAAAGTATGCTAATTATTATGAATTCTCAAGCAAACAACTGGTAGAAACTAGAAAAACAGGAAAAATGGATTAAAATTGTCAGAAAAGTTAACACTTCGTAGGTGGCGAGATCCTAGTGACCCCCCATAGCATATGTCTCTACACTCTCACTCTCTCTCTCTCTCCTTTCTCTCATTTGTAACCCAAGGCCCTTGTTTCATGACACTAATAAATCCATTGCCAACTTAAAAATGCCCCCTCCTCCTTTACTTACTTTGCCATTGAATATTTCCCCAATAGACATCAGCTCATATTCATCCTCCAGATCGCTGTTGTGATGATAGCCATTTGTACCACCAATCTGCATTTTAGCCTCACCATTATTAGCTTCTGTACCATTTGTGGTGACGACACTGCCATTTTGATGAACTGCTGCTCCATTGGCACCATTTGCCGCCGAGCCATTTGTATAGCCATTTGTCTTCTGCGTCTTGCGTACATTTTTGCGGAACCAAAATTTCTCTTTGCGGCAAGCATCACGTTTCTGGGCCCTCTGCATATTCTCGTCCACCTTGCTGATGGGTATGAGGAAATTCAACTGATACGACAATATGACCCGTGTCAGCAATACCACAAAACATACCAGGGCGGCATTTTCAAAATCACTAATTTGAGCTTCACATGGCCGGAATTCAACACGCCATCCAATCGAGGAGTTTGGTGGTGGTGGCTTGAAACGCATAGTTTGCCAATTGGTCGATTGGATATTTTCAAAATGATCGGTATCCTCTTCATCGTTTTGATGGACCTTTTCGCTGAACAATGACACCGTGTCGCGTATGAACAGATGGGCCACATGTTGGGCCAACAAGTGATCGATGCCACCATCAAGAAGATTTTCATAGACTTGCTGGTCATAGGTCAGCGGGACATCGTTGTATTGGTCACCCTCGGGCGATAGATATGAATCGATGGAATCATAACGAGACTTTGCAATACGGAATTTATTCTCTTTCAATGGTTTAAGGCCTCTTTCTTCTTGGGTGCGACAATCCACCGATGAACTGATGACGTTCCAGCGACAATCAGATTCGGTTAAATAGCCTCGATAAATGGGAGAAGCAGCCGTGAGGGCCAACATAATTGGACACAGCGGAGCCAATTGATCGTACAAGGTACGAGCCTCGGTTATATTGCATGCTTGGAATGTTAACTGTAGACAACAGCAACCCATGCCAAAACCCATAGCGTCTAGTAATACTACATCTGGTTCGTTGACGGGACTACCTTCAACGGGTAATTTTGTGTTTTCATCCTTGAATACTTTTAGTTTGATGGCCACCTTTTCGCCTCTGCGCATGCGTATGTTGCGTGTCAGAGTTTTGAAACGTGGATGACCGGGAAAGATGGCCTCATCGGGAAAATAGAGGGATTTGGCTGAACCATTGGGATCCTCGGGATTTGGATTGTAGATGGGATGTGTAAATTCAGGACAACCCAATCTGGGGAAATTCGTAATGGACATAACACATTCATCCTTGTCCAAAAGTTCGGTGACCTCTTGGCGGCGATAACGCATGTTGGCCTCGACCAAATTAAAATGGGCCATTAGACCACCAAATGGTTTGCCGGGAGTACCCTCAATCATGTAGGCACCGTATTCCGGACGCCACAGCGACTTAACACCTTGGGGATCGGCCATTTCTTTTTCATTTAGTTTTGCCAATAGACTTTGGGCTTTGAGGGAGACACGTGCCACCCGATTTTGTTCATCGAATTTCACAATAACATATTCCACTTCATCTCCCCATTTCAAGACGTCTCCCTGACGATCTTTCAAACGATGATAGAGATTTATGAACTGCTGTATGCCATGTTCTCGAACATGTTGGGCCAAAGCTTTGGTCTCTTCCCACGACAGAGGGCTGCCTTCACTTAATAGACCCATTGCTGAAATGAGAGAGTGAGATGAGAAAATTTTGGAATTTAGTATGGAGTTGAAGGATAAAGAATTTTTAAAAAATTATTTGAAATTGAAAATAAATTCTAATCGTGCTGAAAAAGTATTTGAAATTTAATAGAGTTTAGGCGTGGATTTTTAAATAAATTTCACAAGGATTTCAAAATGACTTTAGGCGTGGATTTTTAAATAAATTTCACAAGGATTTCAAAATGACTTTAGGCGTGGATTTTTAAATAAATTTCACAAGGATTTCAAAATGACTTTAGGCGTGGATTTTTAAATAAATTTCACAAGGATTTCAAAATGACTTTAGGCGTGGATTTTTAAATAAATTTCACAAGGATTTCAAAATGACTTTAGGCGTGGATTTTTAAATAAATTTCACAAGGATTTCAAAATGACTTTAGGCGTGGATTTTTAAATAAATTTCACAAGGATTTCAAAATGACTTTAGGCGTGGATTTTTAAATAAATTTCACAAGGATTTCAAAATGACTTTAGGCGTGGATTTTTAAATAAATTTCACAAGGATTTCAAAATGACTTTAGGCGTGGATTTTTAAATAAATTTCACAAGGATTTCAAAATGACTTTAGGCGTGGATTTTTAAATAAATTTCACAAGGATTTCAAAATGACTTTAGGCGTGGATTTTTAAATAAATTTCACAAGGATTTCAAAACGTTTGAAGGTCATAATTCGTGCGTATGACATTGTTCCAGTTTTTTTATCTCACCCTGTATATATTGGGAATTTATTGTTCAGTCAAGTGTAGATTATTGTTTTGTTTCTATTATTGTTTTCAAAAGTAATGATTGTATAAACAATTCAGAAATTATTACGGAATAAATATACAGGCATTGAAAATGTGGAGTGCCTGTTTGCCTTTCTTCCGATGGTGATAAACCAAATAGTATTGTAAAATTGTAATATTCCTTACAAATATTTAGTATTGAATTTATTTCATGTCCTACAATGAACAAAGAAATATCTAAGGCATCTCTTAATACCGAAAACAAAACAAACAAAAATCGACTAGATTTCGCGGGCAGACAAAAAATACGCAGGAAATATTAAGGCAATTTCGCAAAAATATTATAAATAATATTGCCATAAACAATTATGTTCGGACAAAACGGTTTATTGACAACGACAAATAATTGCATGCGAAATTGTCGCTTTAAAATAAACCAACAACAGCAAATTTGTTTGAAAAGAATATAATATTTAAAGAAAATTTGCAAAAAAAAAACAACGAAATTGCTCATCCATCAATTAATTGGCAAAGGTTCAGAGATGAGTATCGAGAAAAAGAGAAGAAAAAAAAAGATGCCAACAACAACACTTTTTTAAACAATTGTATTTTGAAACTTGTCTACCCACAAACAAATATTAGAAGCACAAACTAAAAATTTATTTACAAACAAACACTAAAAAAATGTGCAAGAACAGCAAATAAAACGAAACCGGCAACAACAACTCGACAGCTGCTGGCGCAGATAAATTTCTCTAAAAATACACCAACGAATCGCCTGACTCAATATTAGTTTGCCGACAAAATATTTTACTAATTTGTTGATATGTATATACATATACATACATATGTATATAGATTACCACCACAGTCATAAAACTCTCTGGAGGGGGTGGCAGACATGCGGTCAATCAATTTATATTCAAAAAAAATGACAACAACAAAAAATGCTTGATCGCATTTGAATGTCCGGACAATTGAATGTGCGACCATTTGATCCCAGATAATACAAAATGACAATCAATAATATTGAAAATTTCTCAATATTGTTAATTTTTCATCAACAATGACCACTATTATTGACGATTTTTAAACATAGCATTAAGAGCATTGAAGTAGAAGATCAGAAGAATTTTTTAAGGGAACAGAAGAACTGATGGCTTTCTTATAGAAGACAAAAAGCTCTTCGCATAGAAGAACATAATCTCTTCATTTGGAAGAGCAGAAGCTCGTGTCAAATAAGAACAGAAGAATTTCTCGAAGAAAAGCAGAAACTCTTCTATCTTACGAGAGCGGAAGCACTTCTACTAGAAGAAACAAGTAAGCAGTAAGTTCGGCCAGGCCGAACCTTGAATACCCTCCACCATTTGGAACGAATTTGGCAATTTTTAAGAAATTAAAACCGTTAAAAATACGACGACGTGGACCTGCATAGGCAACTTTCATCATAATATTCAAATGCGACACTTGAAAAAAACGGGGAATAATGTAGCTAAAATCATCAAAATACCGGATATAGGGAGGTACCATAATATGGGGGCCAAACCAAAACGTGGCTGTAGCCAGTAGTACCCATGACGAACTTCAAATACCAAATTCGAAACAATTCCGGTGAATAATGTCCCTAAAATCATCAAACTACCGAATATCAGGAGTTGCCGTTATATGGGGCTATACGAAGACGTGGACCTCCACTGACAATATTATGTCTTAGGCTGTAGTATCCGTTACGAACTTCAAATACCAAATTTATAACAATTCCGGTGAATAATGTCGCTAAAATCGTCAAAATACCGAATATCGGGAGTTACCGTTATATGAGGGCTATACGAAGACGTGCACCTATTCTTTTCATAGAAGAGCTTATGGTCTTCTTCTCATAGCTTAAGGTCTTCTCTTCGCATAGAAGAGCCAAAAGGTATTCGCATAGAAGAGCCAGAAGGTCTTCGCATAGAAGAGCCAGAAGGTTTTCACATAGAAGAGCCAGAAGGTCTCCGCATAGAAGAGCTAGAAGGTATTCGCATACAAGAGCCAGAAGGTCTTCGCATAGAAGAGCCAGAAGGTATTCGCATAGAGGAGCCAGAAGGTCTTCGCATAGAAGACGTGAAGGTAAAGAAGCGAAGTGATCGAAATCCGCGTCGCAGTGACCGAGAAATGGCTGGTGAGCTGGACACATCGCAATATTCCATTCGGCAAATATAGAATAATGAACTCGGGGTAAAGCCATTGAAATTCCAAAAAGTACAAGAACTTACACTGCAATAGAAAGAGTATATACTCAAAAGAGCTAAAGAGTTGCTTCGCGGGGTCGAAAGTGGTGAACTGCCGAATTTGTTCTTTTTTCGATGAGAAAACATTCTTTGTCCAGCAGTTTGTAAACAAACAAAATTATCGTGTTTACTTGCCAAAAGGTCAGCCGGAAATGTGCACATTCGGTTGGCCACCAGAACTCAAGCGCCGGCGATGGTGATGGTGTGTGCCACCATAACAGCTGATTGTCGCTCTCCGCTCATATTAATCGATCGTGGCATCAGAATAAATGCCGAATATTATCGCGAAAATATTCTGGAGGGTGTATTAAAGCCTTGGGCAAGCAAACATTTTGGCCGCAGACCTTGAACATTCAGGAATGGTTACAAAATGACGCCGTCCAAGAATAGTTACAAAATGAGGTTCTTCGCTTCATTTTTTCGGATACCAATCCGTTGGACTATTGTGTCTGGAGTATTTTAAAAAGCAAGGTTATCACTAAAAAATACCAATGTGTCGATCAACTCAAGCAAGCTCTTCGCTGGGAATGGGCCAAAATACCGCAAAGCAACATTCAGGCAGCATGTTGATGTGGTTTCATTGGCCGTTTGAAGGCTATAATTCGTGCCAAAGGTGACAAATTCGAACAAATCTAAACTTATTTTAAAATTTGATGCTATTTCCGACATTTTTGCTTTCATTCAATAAAATTTAAAAAAAATTAAAAATTATGGCGTTTGACTATGTTGTATTTTTTTTTATCTCACCCTTTATATATAGTTTTTTTTCTGAGCGTACTTCCTATATGTATTTATCTCCAAGGCATTGCAAGTTTAACTTCCTTCCATGGATGAACAACAATCTAATCAATATTCATGAATAAAAGTAATTGCGGCATAATCACGTGTATTAAGCACGGCATACGAATAGAGAGACAAGATTAGAAAAATACACATTACACTGAACAACTGCAGCTATGATATTCAACAAACTATCTTCAAATAACACAGGGCAACACTTTTAAGGTCATCGATTGCAGAAAATATCTATTTGGAATTTTCCGAGGCAAATGTTAGATCCAAGTGAAATTCCGCCCAAGCCTAGAAACTGTGTTTGTCATTGAAAATGTTCAGTGTTCCCTGGTGTAGTATTCGTTGGAATATTTTAATTTTATTTCATTTTAATGCCATAACAATTAGATTTGTTTTCTAATTTTTCTGCCTCCGGACAGATGTTTGCTTGTCGTCTAGTTTTTCATTAAATGGAAATAAAATCACGATTTAATTGCTAAGCTTGGAAACGCGAAGAATTAGTTAGGGAACAAAAAAATGCGCAGTTGAGTGATTAAATCATTACAAGCTTTGGTGTGTCTCTATCGACAGTTTTGTCGAATAGGAAAAAAAAAACCAATAGCAATAACAACAAAGTGAACACTTGTTGGAAGAATGTATTGTATTTCAAATGTTTCGGAAGGGGAAAAGAAAACAACGAGTGAGAGCGAGTGGTAGAGAGAGTGATTTCAACAATGAAATGCGATTCAACTTCGGAACATACATACCATATATATTTTAATTATATTTTATTTAATTTTAAAGGAAATGAAATAAAGTCAATGGAGAATGTGTTTTGCGAAATTGACATAACAATGACCTAATGGTAGCTGTGATATTTTATGGAAGGAGTTTAGGAAATAATTTAATTTGCTGACCTTCGGATATATGTTTTGTGAGGGGAATTAAGAAAACCCCAGTTAAAAGGCGTCAGTCGGTTTTTGTCGACAGATGTATGCCCCAGCCAATGTTCGATAATTTAAATATATTTTGACTTCTGTTTAGGGTTTTCAAATTATTGACCCTCTATGGAGTAGGTTCCGAAGGCATGGCCCAATATTGTCCATCTCGTATCGGACCTAGCTAAATATGATATAAATATTGCGACGCGCCAGGTTTGGACTATATCGACTACTTCCTTCACTTTATATGGAA